TTTATTTATAGTCACACACATACTAATAGTAGCTGAATTAAACAAAATAATTATAATTAAATAACCAATAATATGGTCTTTCGCAAGATGACACCTAGTTCAGTAAAGATTTATAGTTAGCAGTGAGTAATAAAAATAATAATGAGAATTAATTTAATTTATATATATAGTTGGTTTAAATAATGACAACGACAATCATCATCATTCATCATTTCAGCCATTATTCGTCCACTGCTGGATTTAAGCCTCCCCATAGACTGCCATAAAGAACGGTCCTGAGTAACCTGCATCCATTGACTCTCTGCAATGCATTTCAGGTTGTTACTCCAGTTCGTGGGAGGTCGTCCTACACTGCGTTTGCCCGTACGGGGTCGCTACTCAAGAACCTTTCTTCCCCATCGGTTATCAGTTCCTCTTCATCATATCAGCTTTTATCAGGAGGGGGGTTTGCTAGTAGTTACCACACTCGGCATGCGGATTGGCAATCGTAATCAGGATTTAGAGATGTTTTAAGAGAGACGCTGCTGATCATCCCTCGCCCTCCCTTAGTAGCCTCTTACGACACCCACTGGAAAGGTAGGGGTAGCCTATTCTATGCCGGGACCACACGAACAATGAAAATGACATTAAGTGTTATGTAATTTATATTAGCTTTAAACAACATGAACTACTTGTTCATGAATCAATCATCAAATTTTTCTTTCACAAAAGAAACTTTTTCCAATAGATATATTCTCATAACTATTCACGGCCGACGTAAGGTACCGTGGAAGTGGCAGTAGCACCTTAGGGACCACGAGGTCCCATTTACATGAGTAAATGCCATGTAAATGACAAAAGTATAAGAATTTAGCATTATATTATACGAGCGCGCGGGTAGATGAATTTATATAGATAGATAGATAGATACTCTTTATTGTTTCCTCCAAAAGATTACAATAGTAAACTTATTATAATTATAAACAATTACAAGAAATAATCACAATGAGAAAACAATGAGTGATCTTATCTAAGAGCGATCTCTTCCAAGCAACCTTTGGATGGAGAGGAGTAATTATAAATAATCATAATAAATAATTGATACTATCCAAATGAAATATTTAGATAACCTTAATTTAGCTTAATTAGCTTGTACTTGTCTTGTTGTCCGACACTACCTCACCTCCTAATAGTGGCAGATTCGTAAAATATTCGGGAGGATATATATATATATATATATATATATATATATATATATATATATATATACTCCCGCCCCGACATAGAATAAATTACTTAATGAAAGGGTTCATTCGTGTGGTAATGTAAGTTAACATGTATGTATTTCAGTAGCGAATGCTTGACTAGCAGGACTCTTAGTCATGAGCGACTAAAAGTCCCGGATGGTCCGGATCGGTCGAGGATTCTTGACTAAAATACATAGAAGTTAATCTAGGTATTCTTACATTTGTCATCTGTTGTCGATTTACCAATAATCAAATATTAAATATATATATACTAGAGGGAGACTGTACCAAAGGATCTGCTTGGATATCTCATTCCCATTCGTGTTTCTAGCGTAAAGCAATTGTGTTTACATGGCTGTGTTTTAGTATGAAGAGTGAGATATGGCAATGAAAGTACAAAGGGAGACATAACAACTTAGTCCTCAGGAATGGCAACGCGTGAAAGGTATCATGGGCAGCACAGTGTACTATTTCCATTGTACTTTCACGTTTATAGACGACGGTTACCACTTTAAATCAGGTGGGCCGTCAGTATGTTTACCATTTCAAGATGCATTAAAAATGTACTTATTGTTCGAGAGATTAATTCTTAATATAGTTTTTTAATATCTTACATAGTATACGAACAAATGATTGAGAGTACTAATCCTTACTATCCGGTATAGTAACCTCCATCCACCTATTACATTTTACCCACGTCATACCCTTATAAAAGCATAAAGTGATAAGTCGACGTGTGCCGGACATTTCACCGGATTATTTGCCCAACTTTCAAGGTTTATACATATGCTAGCGATTCACCCTGGCTTCGTTCAGGTAGACAGATTATAATATATAGCCTATATTTCTCGCTGATAATGTAGATTAATATAGATAAAAAAAATTAAAAAGCTTTTTAGTTTATACATTACCAGGGGGCGACTTTGTACAAAAGTCAATTGCTTGGGTACCTCTGTCCAATTCGTGTTTCTACCGTGAAGCACTTGCGTTTGCATGGCTATGTATCGGTTTGAAAGGTGATATGGCGTGAATTTACAGGGTACAGAGGAATAACACCTGATTCCTCAGGAATGGCAACGTATGGGGGGTATCATGGGCGAAACAGTATACTCTGTTATGTCCATAGTACTGCTCATATCTATAGGCGACAGTTACCACTTTCCATCAGGTGGTTATTTGCCATTCTAAGTTGTATAAAAAAAAGAAAGCAAAACAAACTTTTCTCTTTGTAATATAAGTATAGAGGAGTGAGGGGAAGGTATGGTTAGTAATTTAGACTACTAGTCCCATTACTAGCGATATACTCTGTGAGGTCGATCTCCACGTGCTCCATCCTGGAAACCATCGTGCTCAATTCCAGGTATATTTTATTTTTGAAGGATGAAAATGGTATGGTAACCCCGCCTGCGCTAACAGGATACGCTGGCGGAGCACCAGTAAAGGGTGATAGATGAGAATGAAAACAGGCCAGTTAGCCCATCATGATGAATTCATCAGGAATTAACCATGATAGTTTCTAGGAGGAACCGCGAGGAGGTCGACCTGGTTAGCTATATTGCTAGCAATGCGGTTCTCAGTCTCCATTACTAACAATCCATTTCCCCCCATTTCAGGTGTATTCATCACGATTGGCTAACTGACTTGCCTTTTAATTCTCACCTATCATCCCTTACTGATGCTCCGCCAACGTATATCGTTAGCACAGGCGAGATTAAGATGAAATGTCATTTTTTTTATTAAAGCACGACATGTGACCACACCATCCTGAGCGAGCACAGAGACAATATGGTCTTTAAATATGACCAACCCACGAGAAAATGATTTACTCTCAACGGCTGACCGTACTATGCCGGCTCAGTATTTTTTCACGTTACGTTTGAAGGCTCTAAGGTTATTGAATGAAGGTAGATGATGATGATGATGATGGAAAGGATGATGATTCATCTATAATCATATTTTTTTATAATGGATCATAATGAAACTACAACCTCGCCTGCGCTAACGGTATACGCTGACGAGACACTATTGTTGGTGAAAGCAGATCAGTTAGTCCATCGTGAGAAGTTCATCAAAAATAAACCATGATAGTTTCCAAGGGGTATCGACCTGATGAAGTATATTGCTAACAATTGGATTGGTTTTCCGCATCACTACCAATCCCTTCCCCACGCACTCGCCTATTTGGTGAACCCAAATATAGAAACTCACTCACTTGCTCCACTCTTCCACCTCCTAACATAATATGCCTGGGGGGAAAGGGATTGTTAGTAATGAGATTTAACAACCTCATTGCTAGCAATACACTACATCAAGTCGGCCTCCACGCGGTTCCCTCTGGAAACCATAGTGGTAAATTCATGTTCAATTGGTCACTATGGGCCACACCTTTCACAGGTGCCCATCAGCGTATACCAATAGCGCAGGCGGGGTTACCATTCCATCTTTACCCATAAACAAAAAAAAACATTATCTGACTGGTTGTTAAACTTTCATTCCTCTCAATGACCATCTTCTTCGCATTTATTTTCATACATTTTCTTCCAACATTTCCAGTAATGGATTTTTAACGACCACCTGTCAAACTTAGTACATATTTTGTAAACCAATGTATAATTTGTCAAAATTCGCATCGTTCCCATTTGGTGAGACAACACCTAATGGTTTGTGAGTTTTAGCGGCTGCGTGGAATGGAACGTAATGAATAAAATTATAATTAATGAATCTAACATTATCTTTTAATTCGAGTGACAGTGATATGTATAAATACTGGTTGTAAACTGCGGCTTCGCGTAGATAAAAAAACTGATTAAAAATATCATATTTAGAATTTTAGGGCATCTGTACATCAAATTTCTCTTTAATGAATGATAATAATTAAAGATTGTGACCCATAAAAAAAAAAACGACATTAATAAGGTCGTAACCAGTTTTTTTTTTTATTTAAAAACTCAACTAGTGAACTGATGTTAATAAAGTTTCTATAAAACCAGTGTTAACACTAATACATGCCTGGACAATGGCGGACCGGCATAAACGTAGTGGGTAGGCCGTGTAAATTACTACAACGAAACGGTCACCATACTACCCTGCAAATTGTATATTAAGCGCTCGGTTGAGACGCCCTCTGTGTGACACTACACTTTACTACTACAAGACTGTCTTATTGTTACGCTGTAAATCTTATGATAATATATCTATTTTAAAGTAAAACTAAAACTGTTAAATATATTAAAGACTACTACTGCACCAACCGGAGCATTTATTAATGTTGTATCAAACACCAGTCTGTAATTATATCCATTTAGATTAAAAAAAAAATCAATTTTTTAAATCGGTTTAGAACTGACAATACAATTGAGTTGAGAACCTCCTTTTTATTAAAATCGGTTAAAACTTGTACTCAGAGATATACCACGCTTGGCAGGCAGGTTGGCAACCGCAGTTAGGTTTTTGGTGATATTTTAAAAGGGACGCTGCTACCGTTCCCTCAACCATTAAGTTCTATTAATCACGTCTTACGACACGTATGGAAAAAAAGGATAGCTTATTCTATGCCGGGACCACAGAGTGATTTTTTTATACAATTTTCACTATACTCGTAATACATGTTTTACTATACTATATATTTTTTTATTAAAACACAAGAAACACAACCGAGACAGACGTATCCCTTCCCTATCCTCAAATGGATTTAGTACAAAGCCTCCCTCTTTTACTTAGGTCTATTTGAGTACCTTTTATTATGCATAGTATACTCAATGACTATTTACTCACCAGTATAAGCGCGAAGAGCGGCAACGGCGCGTGATGCGTCGCCATCAAAGTACCAGATCCTATACTGAGCGTCACCAGTATGGAGCCGACCAGCGCCAGCATCTCCCATTCTGCTGCCGGCGGCAACAACGCCAATGCCAACACAGTTGACAGTACAAACGTTATCACTGATAACGATGCTATACTCTTCACTTGCGTTGACAGTTCCTGAAAAGAAGAATTTATACGTTAACCTCGATTGTAAAAAAGAGGGTCATGTATTTCACGACGTCGACTCAATCCATTCGTGACCACGGGTAGTGTAACTTGGTTGAAACGTCTACATCGTTAACTGTCCACTGCTGAATGTAAGCCTCCCCCATAGACTACCATAAGGAATGGTCCTGAACCACCTGACACGTCAGATATGGGATACATTTTATTTCAGTCAGTGACACAGTCACGAGGAAGAAGTCGCGAGTAAATGCTAGTATTTTTTTATAAATAAAATACCATTAGATAAGTTTTAATTATGATGAGTGATTTATATTGCATAATAACAGTACAAAATAAATATGGCGATAACAAATTGTCATATTTTTATTTTATGACTATAAAATATGACTAAAAAATTAATTTGGCCATTTGGAGAGAATGAATGAAAGAAGAATTACGAAGGAGATTTATCGTTCACAAATAAATAAAGATGTCGGCAAGTTCCGTCATAGATGGACGCTTTTACCAGAGGGAAACTTTGTACAAAAATCGATTGCTTAGGTAGCTCTGTCCCATTCGTGTTTCAACCGTGAAGCAGTTGTGTTTGCATGGCTGTGTTTTGGGTTTGAAGGAAGTTTTTGATATGGCGTGAATTTACTGGGTACAGAGGGTAACACCTGAGTCCTCAGGAATGGCAAATAAAGGTATCATTTTTAAACAGTTTACTCTGTTATGTCCATTTTTTGCTTATTCTCATATCGACGGTTACCACTTTACATCAATGGGCCGTCAGCTTTTTGCCATTCTAAGTTGTATAAAAAAAACGTACATGGCAATTTATTGTATAAGGACCAAATTAAAATCCCCGTAATCGGCGAGCGTGCGTATGCATAGATTGATGAATGTGGAGGGAGCTAAGAGGTTTATTTGAATCGAAGTATTTGGCATTCCATTATTTCCGCCTACTCTAATGAGAGACAAGCATGACAGATATGTAAAATACGACTATATTTTTGTTACTCCTTTTACACTTTATCCATTTTTTCTAATATTCTCAATCAATATGAAAATTTGCAAAAATGTTTCTTTTTTTTTAAATGACTTGCAAAAGGAGTACACTATTTTTATTTTTTATACCACAAAGATGACAAACAAGTAAACAGCTCTTCTGATTGTAAACAGACATGGTAAACAGTAGCCTATGGAGGTCTCTGCAACACATTGGTTGTTACATGCGCGTTGCTGACTCGAAAGAAACCTTAAAATAAACTTTTTTGGAAAAACGCATAGTCTATAGTCTCTACTATTAATTAGACTATTTTCGTGTATGTTACACAATATCTTATATCCAATAACGAATCCTGAACCGATTTCGATAATAACTTCCTCTTCTGTTTGATCCATAAATAAATTTAGCTTTGCATCAAGCTACTAAAATTCGGCATTCTAGGAAAAATTCGATTTAAGCATTTTCATATTATTTAAAATCTTGTTCCACATTAACTAGAAATTTACTTCAATCGTTCTAAAACCATTTATTTTTATTTAAAACCTAAATTTCTGAATAGATTTTGATACAATTTCTATAAGACTAACTTGAAAATATATCCTTTCAGATAAAAAAATAATAATTTCCCATATCGGTTTATAAATGACGGAGTTAAAAGGTAATAAACAAAAAAAATATTATTATCTCCTTCATTTTTGAAATTGAAAAGGATCCCACAAGGATGTTATTTTATAAGGTACTAACGGCTCGTCTCGGCTTCGCACGGGTGGATATTTTTACAATGTTTTAAAAAGTAATTATTGTGGCATAACGATAATAGTTGGACATATCGCGTATCGCGAAGTTTTTTGTAGTTATTGATATTTTCTTCAATATTGGAGAACATACTTTTGTTTTATTACCAATAGTTTCCGCAGCGCACGCGACGAAAGATATTTTATAGCATTTTTTTACACCTTGAGTTACGTTACTAAAATTTTAGTTAGGATCCCTAATCTTTTCTAGCAATAAATATAGCCTATGTTACTCAAGGTGAATGTAGCTTTCTAATGGTGAAAGAATTTTTGAAATCGGCAAAGTAGTTTTCGAGTTTATTCATTACAAACATACATACACACAAAAATACAAATTTCCTCTTTATAATATTAGTGTAGTAGCGTTGGTACTGTTTAAAACTTCCAAAAACACCTAGCAACACACCATATCCGAAAAACATTATCCTCCTTCATTCTTCATTAATCGGGTAAATAGTGATATAATCAAATCACGGACATGAAATATTATAATTAATTAATTAATTAATCAGATTACGCGTAACTTTATTAAATATTTAAGCGAGTTACGCATACCAGCACAGCTGGGTATAATGTCACGCCTCAAAACACTTAAGGCAACTCATCAAGGACAAGTTTCCCGTTCCTTACACCGGCAGTAACAGCACCGCACTTTATTGGGACCTCTGAGTAGAGTACAAGTCATTAGGCCTGTCTAATTCAGGGTCGGGGCATTGTATAGCCTGTGGTTACAAATTATACACATCTGTCACTGTTATTGTAAATTAAATCTTATGTCCGTGTCAGAAAATTCGGATTCCCTCGATTTCATACATGGAACGTAGTGTTCTTAAGAAAATAGGTATAAAAAAATATTCCTTTCCTAAAAATAGTAGCCTGTAGTTTAGTTTTGAAATCCTATCCTTTTTTTTTAAATACAGGCATAAATTGGTTTGATTCCAATAAAACATAAAAATAATGTAGTGTTTTGGCAACTTGAATAAGAATATAAGCCTTTTCAGGGGATTTTGCCAGTAACAAGCTGACGGCCCACCTGAAGGAAAGCGGTCACCGTCTATGGACATAAGCAATATCATGGACATAAGAGAATATTGTTTCACCCATGTAACTCCCCATTTCGTTGCCATCCCTGATAACCCAGGTGTTATTCGTCTGTACTCTGTAAATTCACGCCATATCACACTATTCAAACCGAAACATAACCATGCGAACACACTGCTTCAGGGTAGAAACACGAATGGAACAGAGGTGCCCAAGCAAACGACTTTTGTACAAAGTCTCCCTCTGGTAAATGTTTTAAAAGGGATGCTGCTGCCCCTCTTTGTACTATAAAGTTCCCATAATCTTATTTGTCTGTCTTACGATGCCCAAGAAATGTATTATTATTAAACGTAATATGCATAATACATATATACTTTCTGATACAAATCAAACAAAAACACAAATATAAGAGTTTACACGATGATAAACAATAAAAGAAATTTCTAACTTCCAAAATACTTCGCCGTTAAAGGACTCATGGGAATTTGCCAATATTAGTTTGTACGTCACAATGTCCCGAGGGCGAGTCCTCGGTGTCCGGGCGGATCCATCATAACAATAAATAAATTCACCATCTCCGAGCTCCAATTTGAAATAACTCTTGATGTGTAGTTGACCCAAATCAGTCCGAAATATTTTTTTTTTATATATTAGAACTTTTACTTTTCTTTGTAACTTATGAAATTGAAGAAAAAATAACAGTGACATTTTATTTCAATCGTAACAATGTTATGTAAGTAATATATGAATAAGCTCTATCTATAACTGAAGGAATAATTATAAAATCGTAAATTACACGTTTCCACACTTTTGTATGAATGCTCATAAGAATCGAATAATTGTTCCAAAAAAAAAACCAACATAAATAGTTTTTTTTTTTTTTGCAAAATTAACAAATCCAATTATATGTTTTGACTTAAAACTAAACTACTAAACAGATTTTGATAAAATTTCTACGGGACCAATCTATAAGTATATTCTTTTAGGTAAAAAAGAATTTTCAAACAAACATAAAAAAACTACAACTCTGTATATTTAGAATCTAATTATTAATGAAGTCGATTGAAAATTGACATTTTGCATATAACTAACGAAAAAACAGACCAACTTTATAAATTTTTTTTATAAAATAATATATAGCTTATCATTCAAAACATTCACTAACAATTCCAAAAACACTTATTTCACAGTAGTGTTCACATATTGCTAATTAAAATACTAAAATGTATTAGCCAAAATAATTAAACATAAAAAAAATTAACTATCACGAAGCCTCATTCCCCCTGATAATAAAAATATAATTGGTTTATTGTTGAAATAAAGAACATAAATGGTATTACGACCTATTCGTATCATTAAAAATATTCCTAATTAAAAAATGTTATTATACAATATAAATTATTATCATCCAAAAAAAAAAAAAAAAAACTTTTTGACAAAAAAAATTATTGTATAATTTATCCTTTATAATACAACAAACAAATCTTTCCTCTTTATAATATTAGTATAGACTGAAATAATTATTAATATTAATTCAAAACAATTGAGATGATGCATAATATAATCCCAAAGAAAAAACAGACGAATTGAAAAATAAAAAATAAAATGAAAATAAGACCAAATCATTCAAAACATTCACTAACATTCCAAAAACACTTATTTCACAGTAGTGTTCACATATTGCTAATTAAAATACTAAAATGTTTTAACCAGAATAAAGATAAACAAAAATCATCATTTTCATTATCTATTATAAGCGTACTTCATTCCATGATAAAAAAAAATATAATGAATTCCAAATGAAATAAAGAACATAAAAAGGTAAATTCAGTTTCATTTTTTTAAATATTCCTTAATTAAAAAATGTTATTATACAATATAAATTAATTTTTGCATCCCAAAAAAAAACTTCAATTGTGACAAAAAAAAAATATAAAAATAAAAATCTAAAAACAAACCAGTTTTTTTATAAAATTGTAGTTGGTTCTTTGACACCAATGTGAAATAAAGATTTTCCAAATCGGTTACAAACTCACGAAGATATAAGGTAATAAAAAAAAAAAAATCAAATTGAGAACTTGTAGTGGGTAACATTGTTAAATAATTGTGGGTAAACGTCGTATGTTGAACGCTCGCAAGTGATTTATCCCACTGCTATAGAATATTAC